CTTCTAAAAAAGGAGGGGCCCATAGGTTTAGGGTTTAGGGTTTAGGGTTTAGGGTTTAGGGTTTAGGGTCGAGGAGGCGGTTTAGGGTTTGGGGTTTATAGGGTTTAGGGTTCAGGGTTTTAGGGTTTAGGGGTTGGGTTTAGGGTTTAGGGGCCTCAAGAATTACCTATACTATTTTGGGGGTTCTTCATTATGATTACAGTATAACATGCCCCAAAGCCCTATTCTAATTATTAAGAGAAGGCCACGCTTAAATCCTTTAAACCCCAAGAACTAAGCAGAAACACTCCTTTGCAAAAGGGCCCTTAGAACCCTAAAGCCTCCAAAGACCTTAGAAGAAAAGGGCCAATAGAACCCTTTTGCATACAAGGTCCCTAGAACACAACAGGGGCCCTTAAAACTGCAGCTTTGGGACATCCCAGCTGGTGCCAGGAGTGCCTGGGCCGGAAGATCTCGGAGAGTGGCCTGTTGCAGTTGGAAAGGAAAGGTTTAGGGTGTAGGGTTACCAACCCAGAGAGCCCAACACCCCTTATATAAGTAAGGAATATACCTTAAATCATAATATTGAGGCCCCTATAATTTAAGGTATATTCCTTTATTTACGGGGTGTGGGGCTCTCTGGGAATACTGTTCCTTGAAAAATTCCATTGACCATGACCATTAGATGATGCCCCGAAGCCTCTAGCACAGCAGTGTAGTCAGGGTCGAGAGCCTTTGAAGGTTCAGGGCGTCGGGTCTTAGACGGTTTCGAGTTTGGGGTCTGACAAGATTTTGGGTTGGGGTCTCAAAAGGCTTAGAACGGTTTGGGTATGGGGTTTGGGCTTTAGGTGTTCGGTGTTAGGGAAGATTCAGCGGCATGCCCGGGTCGTGGCGGGTGTTGGAATCACAAGCTGACCCTCTGTCGAAGAGCCTGGTGCTACAAACTCCCTCGCACCTCTTGGCGCTTTGGGCCGGAATGGTGACTTCTGGTAATTAGACCCCAAGAGCCTGTTTCGATCCTAAACCCTAAATCCCAAACCCTGCCTTAAGGCCCCTGGCTGCATCCCTGGGTCGAATAGACCTGCAATTCTGCGTTCCTGAAAAATCATTTACGGTTTTATGAAACCTGCACCAACCCTAGAAAGGGTTTAGGGTTCCGGGTCTAGGGGAATTCGTACAGATGTCGCTTTTTTTGCTGTGGCTTCAGGGGCTTACCGCTTCCAGGTGATCAGGTCATGAAGCTCAACCGGATCCTCCTGTCCGACAAGGACACAATCAGAACACCTGCAGGGTGTCGGGCTTGAGGGTAACGGGAGACGCAACCCCGGAGCTTTTCTCAGCCTTAGACCCTAAACCCAAAAACCCCAAACCCTAAACCCTAAACCCTAAACCCCAAACCCCAAACCCTAAAGCCCTAAGCCTTAAATCCTACGACACCGAAAGCCTGAGCTGCCCCAAAACCCCGAATCCTGGGACAAGGCCTACACAGTCAGATCCTGGACTCTTCGACCCTGAACCCCAAACCCTGGGTGTCATATAGGATTTAAGGCTGAAGGCTTTAGGGTTTAGGGCTTAGGGTTTCGGGTTTAGGGTTTAGGGCTTCCTAGACTCCTAGAGCCTTCAACCCTGAACCCTAAACCCTAAAACTAGGGTTTAGGGTTTAGGGTTTAGGGCTGAAAATCGGGGGTGCCGAAAATAGGGGACTCTAATATAGTACCCTAAATAGTAGGATCCTTATTATAAGGACCCCCAAATATGATACTACTTATTTTCGGAAACTCCCAAATAACAGATTTACTCAGAGCTCCTACAGAGCCTTTCAAGACCAGCGGCTGCGTTTGGGGTGTGTCCCAAGTCGATCTTTGGTGCTCGTCATGTTCTGCAAGAAGACGAAATATAGTTTAGGGTTTAGCATTCAGGGTCCCGAAATATGGGAGTTTCCTTAGTATTTTGGGGTCCTTACAATAAGGATCCTATTATTTAGGGTGGTCCCCTATTTTCGGAAACCCCCATAGAGTCCCCTTGAAGTCGCTAGGCAATATACCCCCCCAAAGCCATGTTCTGATCATTAGATCCTCTATGTTAGTTTCTTTGAGGGTTTAGGGTTTGGGTTTTGTAAGCACACTAAACAGGATTTCATGAAGTCTTATGTGGTTTGGGGTTTGGGGTTGCGGGCTTGGGACAACGGGACATCGGGTTGCTTTGGCTGGCCAGGGGCAGGTTCTTGTGTAAGCTGGCCCTGGGCTCTAAAGCTCACACCAGTTGAACCCTAAGCCCATCACGCCCCCCCCAAATCCCGATATGTTATAAAGATGCCGCGATAAGGAAACCATATTATTTCCCTAAACCCTAAACCCTGAACCATGCCAGACTCGCGAGCGAAAGCCCAAAACCCAATGCATCAAGTCAGGCTCTTGCTGCTATCCTGGTGACGATTCTCGCTTTACTACCGTTGATGATCTAAATCCTGCATTACCCATAACAAGGAATATACCACAATTCCGGACAATTCCCATAGTTCAGGGTCCTGAAGGTAATGCAGGATTTATATCATCAACAGTACCCTTGTGTCAGGGCCGCGGGGTTTCGTGACCGCTGTGGCTTTTGAGGTGACAGGTGTCACTTGTCGGACCCTGTCACTTGTTACGTGGTTGCAATGGGTCATTATGGGCGTGGGCCTGTCGGAAATGCGATCCTATGCCAGAGTCTTGGTTGGGAAGTGTCCGCTGCGACGGGGATGGAGCGTGTTTGGGAAAAAGTGTGCAACGGCAGGGACCCAATGAAAGTGCCCTCATAAACACCTTTCAGAAGCTTGCAAAATCCCTTGTTTGCAAGCCCCTATCCCCGATTAAATGTACGCTCTGCTGACACCCGTGTAAAACCCTTATCAAAACTGCAGCAAAACGTTTACAAGATCCTTATCAGCCTTATGAAGCCTCTGTAAGAAACCTCCGACACCTTAAACCCTAAACCTTACAAACAAAAAAAGGCACACCATAATAAGTTCGTCTCCTGGGTTCGAAGACCAACAAAAAAGCAAGGCGTAGGTTTCTTGGCTTCCGAATCTGTGTCGAATCTTTGTAGAACCCCAAACCTTAAACCTAAAGCCCTAAGGCCCTAAACCCTAAAACCCTAAAAGCCTAAACCCTAGACCCTAAACCCTAAAACCCTAAACCTTAAAGCCCTAAAGCCCTAAACCCAAGACTAAATTCTAGAACCCTTATAGCAGCCCTCGCAGGTGCTTGGAGGCTGCTTTAGGCCCGAAGCCCCAAACCCTAACCTACATCGAGGTTTAGGGGTTCAGGGTGAAGGGTTTAGGGTTTAGGGGCAGAGGGGTTCAGGGGTTTAGGGTTTAGGGTTTGGGGGTTTCGGGTTTAGGGTTTCGGGTTTAGGGTTGACTGCCCCATGGATCAGATTTACATATGAATCGAAGACTGAATAATCACCACTAATATTTCATAGGGCTCCTGAAAATACCATACTATGGCCTACAACAGAACCCCGATCCAATGGTTTAGACTTTAGGATCTGGTTTGGATTTGTTGAAAATAAAACTAACTTAAATAATATTGACTTTGTTATAATCGACAGGGAGTGCCAGGCCCCTACATTAACCCACCCTAAACCCTAAACCCTAAACCCTAAACCCTAAACCCTAAACCCTCAACCCTAAACCCTAAACCCTAAACCCTCAAGCCCTCAATCCCAAACCCTAAACCCCAGGAGGCCGTCAGGGAAGCCCGGTCCCCGGTGGCCACCTACGCACCGCCCGCGTTGAACGAGGCCGGTCTCTTCTTTGCCGTGTTTGAGCGTTCGGTAGCGAAGGGGTTTAGGGTTTAGGGTTTAGGGTTTAGGGGTTTAGGGGTTTAGGGGTTTAGGGGTTTAGGGGTTTAGGTGTTTAGGGGTTTAGGGGTTTAGGGGTTTAGCGCTTAGGGTTTACGGTTTAGGGTTGACTGTTTGCTGAGTGCTAGCCAAAAAGCATCTCGGTGGTTCTTGACAGCTTTTCCAGACTCCTGCAGCACTTCATGGGAAGAGCACTTGCGCTCTTGGGTATGTATGCGACATGTGTTGTACGTTGTCGCATGTACAGGCCCGTTTGAGCCATGCGAACCGTGGCGACAAGTGCGTGCAACTGAGTCCACGCAGATCTCGGGGGCCTGAGTAGATCCGCCACGCTTTGCCTCTTCCTTGGGGCTTAAACATGCTTACTTGGAGGATCATGGGACTTAGTAACTAGGGTTATTAATAAGGTAATTATACTTATAAATAATTTTAACCCCAATTAAGGTAGTTATAACCTTACTTCCCAGGTCTCATGATCCTCCAAGTAAACGCTAGCAGGTCCGAAGACTGTCACTGGCGCTTCATGCTACTCCTGACCCGACACGTAGTGAGGATTTGCCCAAGAACAGGGCGCGCAGGTCGTGGGATGTAGGGATGGCCAACGCCAACGCCCACACCAACACCAACAAAAACAGCAGAGGTGGTAGGAAGACGCGGAGAAGCAGATGATGCAAAAACCGTAGCGGGACAACTGGTCTCCAGAGACCCGCCAATAATCCCAAATCCTTGCAGGGTCTTCCCTAGTTCTTGGTGTTTGAGGGTTTAGGGTTGAGGGTTCTTGTCTTAGTACCCTGATTCATTTGCACTGGCACCGAATAACTGGAAACAGGGCACCTCATCTGTAGACCTCTCTCACTGGCGCAGAACTACTGGAAGCATCGAAACCCTATATCTGTAGACCAGCTTTGGGGAGCGTGTCCAGGCAGGCAGGCCCTAGTTAGTTGCTCCGGATGTAGAAAGGGAGTTCCCGACAATAAGGGTACCTTATATTGGGGTCCTTATAATGAGGATCCTACTGTTTGGGGTACTATATTAGGGTTCCCCTATTTTCGGAAACCTCCATATGGGTTTACATCTAAATTTAGGGGATCAGCCCTGAGGTTTAAGTTGAAGGGTTGTCAGCCCTAAACTCTAAGCCCCAAAGGGTTTAGGGTTTGGGGTTTAGGGTTAAGGGTTAAGGGTTTAGGGTTTAGGATTCAGGGTTAGGGTTTACGGTTTAGGGTTTAGGGTTTAGGGGCCCTCAATGTTAGACTCCATGGACGGCCCTTGAGTTTGCCAGACATTCCAATACCCTCGCCACGCAAGGATGGGGACCCATTGGCCCCATTTGGCGTTCCATTTTACGGAAGTGTCTTACGGTGTAAGGCCTCGTTTTTTTGATGCCCTAAACCCTGAACCCTAAACCCTAAACCCAAAGCCCCTAAGGCCCTAAAGACCGTTCCCCAAACCCTAAATTCTAGGTGCTTGAGCCTTCAACCTTTGTCGGCCGCGCAGTTTAGGGTTTATAAGGTTTATAAGGTTTATAGGGCTTATAGGGCTTATAGGGCTTATAGGCTTCATAGGGTTTATAGGGGTTTATAGTTGTTTTTGGGTTTATAGGGTTTATGGGGTTTAGGGTTTATAGTTGTTTTTGGGTTTAGGGTTTATGGGGTTTATAGGGCTTAGGGTGGCCGACGCCTTGTGCAGGCAGCTGCCAGGAATGCAGCGATTCAACTTTTAGAAGGCCGGGGGGCTCGGGAGTTTGTGTTTTAGAGGTCTGGGTTTAGGGTTTAGGG